CGAGGCTTCTTCTTGAGAGGGTAAAGGCATGAAAAAAGAGAACTGAATTTTATTTTTAAACAAAAAAAATAAAAAGCTCAGGGCAGCTGTTGAAAGTCTAAGAATTTCCCCTATTTCTTGCATTAAATTTATCTACATACTACCTGTTCCTCTTAATCACTGGAGAGTTTTGCTGATACTAAAACCTTCAGAAAATTCTAAGAAAATCATTTAATTATTATCACTTTTATTTTTGGTGCTGGTCCTGGGGTTTAAACTCAGGCCTGGGCATTGTCCCTGAGCTTTTTTGCTCAAGGTTAGCATTCCACCTCTTGAGCCACAGCTCTATTTCTGGCTTTTTGTGATTAATTGGAGATAAGAGTTCCACAGACTTTGCTACCTGGACTGGTTTGAACCATGATTCTTGGATCAGCCTCCTGAGCAGTTAGGATTACAGGCATATGCCATGGGTGCCTGGCTAGAGCTTTTCTGCAGATACCAAACTGGACTCAGAAAGACCTCACAGTACATTTCTTATTGTCACCATTGTTTGCTCTAAGAACTCAGTGCAGCAGCTACTTGGGCCCCTGAGACACGTTTTGTTGGCATTTCATTGCAATTAGCTGCAGGGGATAGCTTGTGATACCCCTGTATGGCATCGATTAATAGCTTTCCATTTCCCACTGGCAAGGAGCTCAGTACTATGTCCCAATCAAAGGACTCAACCTGTAATTCCTATCTGTAGCTATATCTTCTTCCCAACACCATTTCTGTACAGTCAGACTTGGTAATAGATCAGAGTCCAAACATAATCTGGACAGTAAAGTAATATGAGTTATTATCAGGAGCCAGGCACCCATGACTCATGCTTGTAATCGTAGTTATGTAGGGATAGGGGACTGAGACTGGGAGGATCCTGGTGCCAGACCAGCCTAGGCAGAAAAGTCCAAGAGACTTGGTCTCCACAGGGTAAAGCTGGATATGGTGGCCCATATCTACAATCCAGCAATGATAGACAGACTAAAGGAAGCAGAGTCTCAGCTCAGGTGGATGCTTGGTTGGGAAGCGAGACCCTATCCTAACAAGAACCAGTGGAAAACAGGGTTGGAGGCATGGTTCAACAATATTGCAAGTATTGCAAGTGTCCAGCCCTAAGTTCAAACCCTATTTTGGTCTCCCCACCCCCAAATTTGTTAACTAAGGAAATTATTATAAAAGGTAAGAGGAACTCATAAGAATACTTTAGGACTGATAAAAGTATCCAAGGAAGGAAAACTTGAAAGGAGTACCTCTTAGACTGGAACTCAAGACTTGTTAGAGAAGAGGCTGTTGCAGCCCACTGGACAAATTTGCCAGGCTGAGCCAGACAGGACTTGTCTATAGTCACTGGAGAAGCAGGAGACACCTTCTAGTAGCTTGAGAAATGTGAATGACAAGGAAATCACGGCCAGAACTGGGCAGTATGGAACATGTACCAAGCATGGCACCCCCACCACAGGGCAGAGGAAGAACAAGGCTGGTGAATAGTCTGTGTGGAAGTTTAGGATAGTAAGAGTCCATTTACCATCTTGGTACCATGAGGCCTGCTGTTAGGTGGGTTTGAAATGGGGCTTGGTTGCCAGGCTGGGTTGGAGAACTTGCCAAGGACTCTATGTTCTGTGTGTGCAGCTGCCGTATTTGATTCTAAGATTGACATAACAATAAACCATAGTCTGGTACTTAACAGAAATTTATTTCCTCATAGTTTGGAGGCTAGAAGTCCCATCAAATGTTGGCAAGGAAGGATCTCTTTCCTTGGCTCGTACTTGTTCTTCTGCTCTAAGGTTGAGTGAGCAACTACTGATCTCAACCTTAATCATATCCTTCAAAACTCTATCTTCATATTAGGCTGAGGTAGAAGAGGAGGAAGAGAAAAGAGGAAAAAGTGAAAAGAAAGCCACATTCTGAGGTACTAGGGGATAGGAATTCAACACATCAGTTTGGCAAGGACAAAATTCAGCCATCACATCTGGGGTGGATTGTTATGGCTGCTGACAAAAAGCAAGAGGCAGACTTGAACCAAGAAAAGGAGCCCCTTCTCTCTGAAGTGTCTCTCTAATATCTTGTACCTCTAGTTTAAGATCATGCAAACTAAGCAGACAGATAAACTAACAGGGCTCAGCTCTAGTAGGGCAGAGTAGGCACTGAAGGATGGATGTAGAGCTGAGGAGCAAAAAAGTTTCCCCCTTCCTTCTTTTCTCCCTCTTTCAGTGGTAAGAGTGAGAACTGTGTAGCTCAGGCTCACTTCTAACTTGAGACATAAATGGAGGCTAAAAAGGTAGGTATAGTTTGCTTTAAGTCATTTAATTAACAACTGCATAGACTTAAATGTTCATTCTATTAATTCTCCCATGGCAACAACCTTTTCTGGATAGGATAAATTATATCTGTAAGCTAAGTTCTCTGAAAGTAAAGTTAGGGGATGAGTGATTTTCACTATGGTGTGACTTTTTAGGAAAAGGGAGGCTGAGAAGTGCCTTTAATCTGCACTTTTATGCTGGGACTTATATATAGTATTTGAAAAGTTAGGCCTGGTGGTGTCCCAGAGGCATGGCATGAGGGAGCTGAATGTGATCTGTGATCAGTGAGACCACAGATCCTCTAAGTAGGCTGAGCTAGAAAACAGGGTGTGGGATGATTGTGAAGACTTTTTTCTTCTAATTTACTGCTATTTTAAAGGTGATGTATGGAGGGATTGCAATTATATGAGTGAGGTAATGAGTACATTTCCTTTCAGTTTCTTCCCTTGCCTCCCAATGGTGAAGACATTTTATCATTAGCAGGGAAACCCAGAAAAAGAGGGAGACAGCACTTGTGATACATGTTTTAGAGCTAGTTCCCACCCCACTGTCCACAGTCTAAAAGTCCAATTACATGCTTCAACCTCACAAACCCAGAGTGGCTGAGGCATAAGGGCCTTGGGATAGATGTCCACTCAGTCCTTATGTGTTCCTGGCAGCATCCTGCTGCTGTCTTGGGTACAGCGACCTGTCTCATATATGGATGGCTAATATGCCTCTCTCCAATCCAAACTGCTTTGAGCTCTTGATTGTAGTGGCAAATCACCCATTTTACCTTTTCTACCTACCCTCTTACCCACCTGTATTACTTCAGCCTTTCTACAGTCAGGAGAAATGGAAAAGAACTAAAATAATTCTATTAAGTTTAAGCTTCGTTTTTTTTTTTTTTTTTGTGAGTGTGTGTTAGGCGTTGTCCCCGAGCTTATTATAGAGGTGATGTACAGAGGGGTACATTTACATATGTCAGGGAGTAAGTACATTTCCTTTTGTAGTGTCATCTGTTTTCTCATTCTCTCTCACTTCTTCCCTCCCATCTCCACTCAGGAAATCTCAGCCTCTTGAGCAGCCAGGAATACAGGTACCCAGCTTTAAGCAACAGCATGTGTAAATTAACCTATTCTCCTGTTCCCACTAATCATGAATATTTCTAAGGTTTTTATTGAGTCTAAGATTAGTTTGATTTTTAGCTTCCATCAACTAACTAGAAAATGAAATAAAACTGAAAGACATTGCAATGATCTCCCTCTAACTGGAGCCAGGGTTAATATAAAAAAGATTCTTTTCTTTGTCAGTCATGGGGCCTGAACTCAGGGCTTAGATGCTATTCCTAAGTTTTTTTCCTTGCTCAAGGCTGGCATTCATTACTCTGAGCCACAGCTCCACTCCCAGTTTTTAGGTGGTTAATTGGAGATAAAGATCTCAGCCTCCTAGGTAGTTAGGACTACAGGCATGAGCCTCCAGTCCCCTGCAGAAAGTTGTTTTTAAGAAGCCAGAAATCGGGCTGGGAAGGTAGCTCAGTGGTAGAGCGCTTGCCTTGCATGCTCGAGGCCCTGGGTTCGATTCCTCAGCACCACATAAGCAAAAAGAAAAAAAAGCCGGAAGTGGCACTGTGGCTCAAGTGGTAGAGCGCTAGCCTTGAGCTGAAGAGCTGAGGGACAGTGCCCAGGCCCAGAGTTCAGGCCCCACGACCGGACCCAAAAAAAAAAAAAAAAGAAAAGAAAACAGAAATCAATATAGCTTTAAATAGTGTATATCTTGATAGAGTGAAAATTAGACAAAAATATAGGCAACATGTTTCCTTAATAGAGAACAGAACTCCCAGTCTTCCCTTTCACTCCGTGCTGCAGGTGACAGCTGTGGCTACCATCCCCAGTCTAAACACTTCCAGTGGCTCAGTGTTTGCCGAATAAACAGCTAAATAGGTTTTCCTATGCTTATTTCTGGCGTACATAAGGGCTTATGTTTGCTGCCTACTGCTGTCATCGTTATTAGGCAAGTTAACACTTACTGCTGCCCACCACCCATACAGACATCACTTCACTGCCCTTGAAAGCCAGGTAAATCAAGCAAAATATATTCGGGCTACAATTACAAATGTCAAAGCAGGGTGGGGTAGGGAGGGAAACAATGAAGAGCAGAGACAGGAAACAAGAGTGGTATTTGGTGGCAAGTTTTGACAGAGTAGCTAAAAAGAGCCTCTCTGAGGGCAATATTTAAGAGATCTGAAGTGCAGAAACAGGACATAATTTTCACTAAAGAAAAAGTGAACAGCATATGCAAAATCCATGGGGGTAGCACGCTGGCCAGTCTGACTCAGATGTTGAAGTAAACAGCCTGGTGTACAAAACATATGCAGAAATGAGGCCAGATCATGGAGGCCCAGCAGATAACAGTGCTGAGCGTGAAGTGAGAGGCCTGGGGAGATTCTGGAAGGTTCTGGGTGGAGGGATGAACTGACTTTACTTATGCTTTTAAAGAATTACTCCAGTGGCTGTGTTGGAAACAATGAAGTGGGTAGGAAGGAAATAGTTATTTAAATAATCTGTCAATGTTTTACAAATTGTTTTGATGGGATAAAGAAATAGAGATTAAAACCACCCCAGGTGACTGCTTATAGTGGTCACTGTGATTGCCCATGGACGGAATCTCTCAAAGACAAGTCAGGTTTGGTAACAACATGGCTATAATATGTAAAAATTTTATTTGCTGTTTAAATTATTATAAAACACAATGTAATATTTTCCTAAATTACAGCTTTTAGTTGAGGGTGATGGTTACAAAAAATAACAATATTCTCCAACTTTCCATTAGAACTTTTTTCCCCTAAAAAAAGTTCATTTTTCTACAGATCAAGAAGACATTTATTTAGATAAGACACATATCAGGTTTTCTCTAAAGTGCTAAAACTCATCCAATTCCTACAACTTTTATAAAAGGCAAAAGAATGTATCAACTTAATCCCAAAGAGCCCCTAATTTTTGAGACTAGAGACAATTTTGCTAGGAAACAGTTGAATTACTTGAATCAAGGAAAATATGCTCTAAATCTTCATCTGGTTCTTCTTTAACATATTGTAACTGGCTAGTCATTCAAATCTAATAATGTGGTTATAAGAACTGAGAATGTTTTCTTAAAAAATATTTTCATAATTCCTAGATAAACTATTTGCTAATTTTCGTTTTTAGGTGCTGAGGATATTCAGAGCCTGGCACATTCTGGGTATGTGCTCTGCTACTGAACTTCATCCCCATCCTATGGTTTTTAAGGAGAATTGTCTTATGATGTAGCTTGTAGCCCAGGCTGGTCTTGAACTCTTGATCCTCCTGTTTCTACTTCCTGAATGCTGGCATTAAAGCTGTGTTACTTCTCCTAGTTCATTGGGCAATTTCCTATTCTACTATCTTTGTTTGTTTATTTGATCTGTCTTCTTTTCTTTCCATAAATTTCCAAGGATGATCCCTAAAAAAAGGATCATTCCTACTGTTCGGTTGGAGACAAATTTATGCCAACAATCTGCAGGACTGTGGATGTCTAGAGTGTAAATCTGTAAGAGAATAACACAATGCTTCATTAGAATCTAGCCTGGACTTTGGGGCAATCACAAATAAACAGATGAATACAGAGAAGGAAATAGTATTTAGTGATAGAATTTTAAATAATGAGAAACCCTTCTTATGTCCCAAATTATCTTCCAATATAGAAAAACCTATCATAATTTTCACTGGGAAATATCTAAGCTGTTTAAATTTATTAAAAAACTTCTGGCTGATAAGCTTAAAAAGCCAAATATAGCATGTTTTTGCTTATATGTGGAATTAAGACCTGTTGTTGTAACAATAATAATAAAGGGGGGCAGTATGGACAGGGGATCAGAGGTACTGGTAATGAACATGATCAAGGTACATTACATAATACACACATCTACATACATGTATATGTTTACATACACATATATGTATACATATATATGTATATATGAAGGTATAATAACACCTGCTAAATACTAAATACTGTTGGACGAAAAGGGAGGCATAAAGGGGCTAAGGAATATAATAGTGAGGGTGAATTGTATCAAAGTACATTGTACGTACTTGGAAATATCACAATGAAATTCCTTGGTATAACTAATGTACACTCATAAAAAAGAAAAGAAACAAAAAAGACCCTTTCTGGCTGAGAAGCATGAAAATGCTTTGAGAGGCAGGAGGTTACTTTAAAGGACGTTGGTGGCTCATGTCTATAATCCCAGCTACTCTGAAGGCTGAGATCTGAAGATCACAGAAGCCATCCTGGGCGCAAAAAACTGGATAGTTAATCATCAAAAAGCTGGAAGTGGTGCTGTGGCTCAAATGGTAAGAGAGCTAGCCTTGAACACAAAAGCTGAAGGACAGCACCTTGGCCCTGAGTTCAGCCTTAGGGTCAGAACAAAAAAGAAATCTGATTTGCTCCAATGTCTAATACTGACATCAAAGTTGATAGGACACCACATGTGGAAAATCCCCCACCCGTGACTGCATAAGAAAGGCCGGTGCGCTAAAAATATCAGTAACAAGTTTGACAAGAAATGTACTATCTTACTTATGAAACTGTAACTGCTATGTACATCACCTTGACAATAAAATTAAAATTTAAATTAAAAAAAGAGCAATTGAGCCCTCAAGTTACTTATGTTCAATAACACTGTAAACAAATCAAATGGTTTACAAAGAGTGTAACATTTTATAGTATGATTAAGAATTAAATCTAGTAAAACATACAAATTTATAAAAGATGCACACAAAAAAGTTACCTTCAGGCTACAGGAATAACTAATATATAAAATACAAATGTTTTGTGCTTAGACTAAGGTTTCATTCCCCCAAACTGGGAAAAAAAAACAACACCCAAAACAACTGTAAGGAAAAGCCCACTTTGCAGGCCTAATCTCTGCCCTCCAAGGCAGCACTGCAGTAGGTGAGGCACCTCCCACTTCCAGCCTCTGATAAAAAGGGGCCTCCAAAGAGTCAGATGGCGCTATTTTTTCCCTTTCCTCTTTAGAACAGGGCCTTGTCAGCTCTGCTGGCAATAAATCTTTTCTTCTACTTGACTTCTGTCTGTGTGGTCTTTTGGGTTACTTTGTTTGGGTTACTTCCTACCCAGGTTACATTTTCTCCTTCATTTGTGGCCCATAGGGGGATAGGCTCCCCGGTGGATTCGCTCCCTCCCCCCAATGACTGCCAGCAACCCCGGGACCTAACCCCCGATTCTAGGCAGACCCAAAAGACTGCTGAGCTGGTTTCCTAGTAGTCCTACCCCTAGGTAAGTGAAGAGTCTAGAGGCTTAGATTTCACTGTGCAGGCTCTGTTTCTCTCTCAGGGAGCTTCAGGGCCCACCCCCGAAAAACTTGGCCAAGTATCTAAGCTACATTTCTGAGGGCCTCCCTGGAGAAACGTGACAACATTTCCCACCGGTTGTTTCCCACTTTCTGAGCCAAATTGCACTGTGTAGGATGCTTCGCAGCAGCTTCTGGTTCCAGATCACTTACCATGGTCAGGACACAATCTAATATTCCTGACATTCCTCAGGACTCCCCCTTGGGTTTTCTCCTAAACAATCTACAAATGCTTAACCTTGAGTCTGACATTGATTCACAGAAGCGAATACATTTCTGTACTGAGATCTGGCCCAAGTACCCACTAGACAATCGTCCACGTGGCCCATTCATGGGACACTGGATCCTGATATCATGCAGAATCTATCCAACTTCTGCAGGCGGTTGGGCAAGTTAAAGGAAGCTAGCTACCTAGATGCCTTCTCTTTCTTTTTCTCCTTCCTCCTTCCTCCGAAACTTCTTCCCGAGTCCTTGCATTCTCCTGCCCAACTCCTTCTGGCCACAAGGCCACGGGCTTATAACCCAGACTCTCTAAGTTGTCACCATTTCGAACATGTGGGGCAACAGCCCCTCCCACTGCGCCCAAGGAGGTGGGACCTCTGCCAAAGGGGGTGGGACTTCCTCCAGAGGAGGTGGAACTTCCGCCAGAGGTGGCAGCCCCCAGCCCGCCCGTCACCTGTCCCCGCACTCTCCGCTCCGCGCCATCCAAGGCCACGCCGGCCCCCTTCCATCGGCACCCCTTCCTCTCCCACAGGACAAAAGCGCACCTGGCCTGGCCACTGCCCACCAGCTGTCTCGGCTGAAAGATGCCCTGGAGGCTGTTGCGTGCCTGACGGAAGCATTGAGTAGCACCCTTACCCAGGCCCAGAGCCTGCTCCAGACCAGAGTTCTGCCTCAGCCCAGTTCTCCCGTTACGTGAGGTGGCAGGGGCCGGTGGGATAGTCACAGTGCGCACGCCGTTCTCATTAAATGGCCTAGCACAGATGGAGATGCGCCTGGGACCTTCCTCCGCCAATCCCACTGCCTCCATCAAGGAGCTGCGCATGTGCTCCTAGGGCGTGATGTAGACATCATCTTGAGTGATACCCTTCTACCAGGGGAACAGCGGGATGCTTGGGAAAAGGCCCGCTGCTAAGCAGATGAGACCCACAGGACTATCCCCCTCACCCAACAGGGACTGAGGCAGTGCCAGACCTGGAACCTCACTGGGATTACAATTCCCCGGGAGGTCACCAAAGGCAAAACCAATTTATTGCCTGCATAATGGAGGGTCTCAAACAGGCAGGCCCCAAAACCATGACTATGACAAAATGGCCACGGTCATACAAAACAAAAATGAAAACCCATCTGTCTTTCGGGCTCAGTATATTAACCTAGACCCCAAGTCTGTGGATGGAAAACGCTGTTTAATGACTCATTTTATTAATCGCTCCAGACATCCAGGATAAGTTAAAAAAAAAACAAACAAACTAGACAGGGGGCCCTTAACACCCACTAGTGAGGCTATGGAGGCAGCCTTTAAGGTGTATCACAGCAGGGAGGAAAAGGCCAAACAGCTCAAGTACCAGATGCTAGCCCAAATCTACCAACCCCTTCCCGACAGGGTCCATCTGAGACCTGCTATATCTGTGGTTGAAAGGGGCACTGGATGGAAACCTCCCCCTCCCTCCCCCACAAGAAGCTCTGCTACTGATGTGGCCAGCCAGGCCTTAGGGCCTCAGCCTGCCCACAGCCACGTGAGCCAAACTGACCATGCCCCAACTGCAAAGTTTGAGGGCATTGGACTGTGGACTGTTCATCATCCTCTCTGGGATGGCGGCCATCTACTAAGGCCCCATTGCCCCCTCCTGGCACACTGGGACTGGCAGCCAGAGAAGACTGAGGCAGCCCTGGACTCCTGGCCCCGACCACTCCTATCACTGAGCAGGAGCCCAGCGTGACAATCATCGTTGCAGGTAGGATGACCTTGCTTTTGGTGGATACAGGTACTATGTAATTGGTACACACTGAGTTCCACGGCCATCTACCTAGCTGATACCTTCATAGTTGGGGTGGAGGGAAAACCTTACAACCTCTTCCCCCCACCCCTCTGCCCTGTCATTTGTCATTTTTCAGGAGTGACCGTCACTCCTTCCTTATTATTCCCCACTGCCCAGTTCCAATGCTGGGCAGAGACCTTTTGGCCAAATTTGGAGCCTCTATTACCCTACTACCTTCCCAACTGGCACAACAGGATATTGATTTGGCCTGCTCCGCAATCTCTTTGTTGATGGCTTTAATAGGCTCACCTAGCAACAGCTCAGAATTCCCTTTTCCACCCTCTGAGGTGGACCCCAAGGTGTGGGATACCCACAAGCCCTCTTGCTAAACACCACCCTCCTATTCATATCTCTGAGGGACCCCCAATGCTTCCCTTAACAACCCCAGTACCCTGTCCCTGGCTGCAGTCTTCTGGGACTGCAACCAATCAGAAAAGACTTACTAAGAAAAGGGCTGTTATGCCCTCACTGACTCTCCCTATAATACTCCGATTTTAGCAGTAGCCAAAACTAACGGTTCATTCCGCCTGGTACTGGACCTTCGCCTTATAAATGCTGCTGTTATCCCCCTACACCCTGTTGTGCCCAACCCCTATACATTGCTTTCCACAATTCCAGTGATTGGATTTAAAAGATGCCTTTTTTTACTATCCCTTTAGCCCCCTCCTCCCAGGACCTTTTTGCCTTTATGTGGACTGACCCGGTCACCTAAACCTCGACTCAGCTCACCTGGACTGTGCTGCCGCAGGGTTCCGGGATAGTCCCCATCTGCTTGGCCAAGCTTTAGCAAGGGACTTAAGAGACCTAAATATAGAACCATCCACCCTTACCCAATATGTGGATGATATTCTCCTCTGCAGTCCCACCAAGCAATTGTGTTACAACCATACGGTAATACTTCTTAACTTTCTGGCCTCCTGGTGATATCGAGTCTTACCCAATAAGATACAGGTCTTTCAAAAATCTGTGACTTATCTGGGTGTTCAACTCACTCCCACACACAAGGCCATCACTATCCCCAGGAAACAGTGATTACTAAATACCCTACCCCCTCTAATAAGTCGGAGCTTCTCTCCTTCCTTGGTCCAGCTGGCTATCTCAGGTCTTGGATTCCTAACTACTCCCTTCTAACAT